ACTATAATCAATAACATGTGAATCACTTGAAAAGTGCTTTTTGGGTATAGGTTCAACACAGCGAGAATATGCATTCACTTGAAACACTCACTCCGTTCGTTTGACACCTCCCTCTCTGTTTGGATAAGCTGGTGATTTGGCGACGAACAGTATCTGGTGAGCTCTATTTAACTCGACGACCAGTATCTGAAATACTGCCAGACTGCATTTCCGGCAGTCTTTTTCTCAAAATATTGTGGTGAAAATATTCATTCACTTTCACTCACTCCGTACGTTTGTCACTTTTCTCTTTGGTCGGATAAACCAGTGATTTGGCGACAGGCGGTATCCGGTAAGCTCTATTTATCTCGACGATCAGTGCCTGAAATACTGCCAGATACTGCATTTCGGGCAGTCTACTTTTCAAATTTTCGGGGGCTTCGTTGAGGTTCGCACGGCCGTTCATTTGACACTTTCCTCTCTGGGGTAGGATAGACTAGTGATCAGGCGACAGACCGACTGAATACTGTCAGACAGCATTTCCGGCAGTCTATTTTTCAAAATTTTCTGGTCAGATCTATTTATCTCGACGATCAATGACTTACTGAATACTGTCAGACAGCATTTCCGGCAGTCTATTTTTCAATTTTTCTGGGGTAGGTCCTCCGTAAGGACTCCATACTCTGGCGCTCGTGAGTGGGTTTCGTCGAGGTTGGCAAGTCCGTTCGTTTGACACTTTATCTTAACGATCAGTGCCTGAAATACTACCAGGCTGCATTTACGGCAGCCTGTTTTTCAAAATTTCTGGGGGTGGGCCCCTACCCCTAGTTGAAGCTCGTGCCTTTGCCCCCTTAACCTTGGACTTTGCCCCACTTTGTCCCTCCAACCACCGGCGGCTGACGCCGCCACTGTGCACAGAATCTTAGTATCGCTTAGTATCAAACTCAGTAATAATTGTGTATCCATAAAATTGCACCTTGTGTTAATATGTTCAATTACTAAATGCCAATCAAAGAAGATATAAGTTCTAATGTCATAATGTAATACTATATACACTGTAGAGGTTATTTCAGTAATCTAATTTCAGTGGTTAAACAAATGGGGTGTTAACTGATATCCTCTTATGTTAATGGTGTCCCTGACACCATTCATCTCGAGGTGTTAAATGTACGTTATGATAAGACATGAGATCGGAGGTCTCTGGAGTACAAATTAGCTTTTGTAAACATCAGGTTAATGAAACACTTATCCAAATATGGAATCCTACGCGTTGGAAAAGTGGATACCCGTCATTCGCGCCTCCTTGGTGCCCCTATTAGACTATTGCGTTCAAATCCAGGGTAACTTCTGTGCAACTGCCCAATCAGATAAAGGAAGCACCTGGCCAATTTCCCGGGGGACGTACATGACTCATGCACGAATCCTTTTTATAAGGACCGCGCGGGGTTTAAGTTTTAAGAGATCACTCGGAGTTCCTAGGGGAACCTCATACCCACGGCCTCCTCGGCTTAGGGGCTAGGAAGAGAGATCATTCGGGGTTCCTACTGGCGCTCCTAGGCGCCCCGGCTCAGAGGCCGGAATGGCTCCCGCCACAGAACACGCGCTAAGGGATAGCGAACTTATATTTAACTTTTAATGTACTATCATAGATGTTGTAGTTTCCTGTATTTTCATATATAAACAAAGATATAAGAACACAGTGTTCCAGAGTCAAGTGATAATGGTGGTTTTGTATGCAGCGTGAAAGTCCTGAATAAGATAAGTGTCACGGGCCCTATACACAACCTGGCAGTAATTCATCTATACTCAGCTAAATTAAAAATTTGACACTGATGAATTTCAACAATTTTTTTTTCTGGTAAGTCAAATACATTTTAAAGTGTTTCTAACGATAGTAAGTAGTAAGAAGCCTTTAATTTCATAAAATTGTAAAGTCACGTGGATCACGTGACTTTTGAGCATATAAAGATGAAAAACACGTCCAAACACAAACTCGTGAGGTCAATCGATGCATGTTTTTCTTAAACTGGACACGCACACGTAACTTGAACTGGAAAAACAAATTAAAATTGTTATTTTCATCTTTGTTAGAAAATGCCGCGCCTTTCAAATGTAGAACGTCTACGTGCTATAGGTAGGCTCTATGCTGGTCAGTATGTGGTCACTGTTGCAAGAGCCTTTAATTGTTCACGCCAGACAATAATTCATCTTAGAATGAGAGTGCTTCAAACTGGAACTATTGCCGACCGCCCACGTGTGACGTCACTCCAGGAAGATCATGCAATACGATTACGTCATGATGATGGGTTAGTTGTATTTTACGTCCGCTTCCACCGAGGTGATATCTTAGAAACAGATTTTATCTCTGCAACCTCAACAAGTAGAGAGATGTTTGGTGGAAGGGTAACTGCACAAACTGTTCGAAATCGCTTGCAGGCTGCTGGTCTTCGAGCTCGGAGGCCCTATAATGGATCAATATTGACACCTCTTCATCGCCGTAACCGACTTGTGGGGGCCACAAGACACATAAGATTTACTCAAAGACAGTGGAATTCGGTTGTCTTTAGTGACGAATCTCGATTCACTTTGAGATTTGCCGATGGCAGGGTTCGAGTGTACCGCAGACGAGATGAACGTTACGCTCAAGTATGCGTCAGAGAAGTTGACCGATTTGGTGGCGGCAGCGTCATGGTTTGGGGTTCTTTTTGTGCACATGGACGTTCTCCTCTTGTTGTTGTCCAAGGGAACTTAAATGCTGTCAAGTACCGGGATCAGATTTTGCAACCTGTTCTTCTTCCGTTTATGCAGAGACATGGGCCTGGACTAACGTTTCAACAATTAAGACAATGCTCGACCCCATACAGCAATTGCTACCCAGAATATTTTAAGAAATGCCGGTGTCCAAGTCCTGGATTGGCCGTCGCTTAGCCCCGACCTTAATCCTATTGAACACATCTGGGACGAACTGGGTCGACGTGATCGTCAGCAAGTGAATCCACCACTGACGTTGCAAGACCTTCAACATGCTCTTGCTGAGCAGTGGCGACGTCTTCCTCGGGTAGTGTTTACTAATGTTCTGAGATCCATGAGAAGACGTTGTGTGGCAGTACGAGACGCTAGAGGAGGCCACAACCGTTACTAAACACTTTATTCCGATTGTTCTCCAAGTCTGTGAATTTCATTTTGGGGGGTACTGTGACATCACGAACGTTATCAATGTCAAGGACTTTCGGCGAGACGTATTGTTGCTTTCAAGGTCGTCTGTGCACAACATAACACTAAAATAGTTGCCTTAAACCAAATATTAAAAATCTAGTCCAAAAAATCCCGAATGTCAAGTTTTTAATTTGGCTGAGTATATTTAACGACATCATTGTGCCACAATAATTTAAAAGGATGTCATTGTTAAAATCATGGTAGTCTGAATCTGCAGTTCAGATCTATGTCCTGAAATATTATTGTCATTAAACGTTATCATCGAAGAATATTGTTCTGATGTTTGGAAAATTATTCAGCAATTCTAGCAACCACAGTATGTCTAGTTATCAGCAGCTACAGACAATGTCTTGGAAATCGACGCCAATCAGCAAGTCATCATGGATTAGTGATGCTCTCTCAACCGACACGAGCTTTGGAAAAACATCTCCCCTCTAGCGTTGTCGGGGTCGCATGGGCTCGAAATTGCCTAAATACACTACACCCGACCACGTACCCCAAAGCCTGCGTTATCAACACTGACGACGAAGACCAACCGTTCTGACACTGGGTCGTGTTTGTGTGCGAAGGACAAGATTATTTCACTTTCTTCGATTCCTACGGCTGTCCTTCTGATGTCTACGGAGAAGCTTTTCGATGTTTTGTCCGAGATCTACATCTCCACTACCATCCGCGATGGATTCAAGGAATCAACAGCGTAGTCTGTGGACATTATTGCTTGTATTATCTGTGTAATCGACTTCACGTTCCTTCCACGTGCGCCCTTTCCGTTTTTGGTCACGTGTATCGTGTGAACGGTATACTCGTCGAACAATGGACTAGAGATCATACGTGAATAAGCATACGAGGTCATATACTACTCTCGCATTTTGCGTAAAAGGCAGGGAGCATAACGCCGTAACGGTAGGTCTCAGGTGAACCATAAATAGAACTCATCCAAGATATGTCGATCCTTAACACTTGTAGCTTCTGGAGAAGTTTTACAATCGGATAAAAATTGTGACTTCTAGAGGGTCCGCAAGCTAAAAACGCGATTTTTCGTACATTCTGGGGCACGATACGTGCCAAATCGAACCAACCCAGCATCTGTGGGATATTGGTATATATTCAAAGTTTCATAAAAATCGGATAACACTTATGACCTCTAGAAGCTAAAGTGTGATTTTTCGTACAATCTGGGGCACGATACGTGCCAAATCGAACCAATCCAGCATCTGTGGGATATTGGTATATATTCAAAGTTTTATCAAAATCGGATAACACTTATGACCTCTAGAAGCTAAAGTGCGATTTTTCGTTCAATCAGGGGCAATAATTCATAAAGTTACCTAAATCGAACATATCCGAGATATTTAGGATATAAAACTACGAACAATTTTAATTAGTCAATTAGGGTGCGAGGTCAAATGCCTTCGAGCGTACCCTTCCAAAAATTCGCTCTGGAGAAAGGGTCGTTTATACTGATAGCGAACGCGACCAAGTATTTGTTGGCGCGGAAAACCACAGAGATTGCCTCCAGAACAGTTTTTGGAACAGTTCGCGCGAACGATTTTGATCAGCCAATCAGGGTGCGCGGGTAAAAAGGCATATATGGTCTTATTCTCAATGCGCAAGTTTCATTGCAGAATTTTGGCGCATATTGGCGCTTTCTGTACGAACGATGATGTGCGCGGAAAGTCGCGGCGTTCAGTGGTTGCATTCTTCTTCGTGGTCGCGTTTGCTCTCAGTATAAATGTAGCTATGGAGCAACATATAAAAGGAGAAAATTGGACGACCATACAATCGATATGATTATTATGTAACAAGCAACAGACTAAAAATTCAATATATACAATATTGTATTGTTTTAAGATATATCAGAGGGTAAATCATCTTCATTAGGCCAGGCAACTAACTGCTGTAAAACTGGTTCTGAACTGTTTAACATATCGGTTAATCTTCCGTCAGTTACTATAAATATTCCACCTGAAATTAAATACAAATGGGTCATAAATACAAGTCGGTGCTCAATTGACATCTAATCGTGCATGCCCATATTACAAGATAAACGGTAGGCACATAATATACAATAGAATATTTAATAGACCCCAGTAGAAATAATAATAAGTAAACAAGCGGTAACCAAGCATTTTCCAAGAAATGGACGGAGAACAGACAGGTCTCATTCACTCGTTGATTCACATACTAACCTGTATGCATAAATAAAATTCTTTTTCCTTTAAAAATTTCAGGAGTCTTATTTAATACTTGAACCAGTCCTAGGGTTGTTTTCCCCGTGTAAACAGGGTCCAATACGATTCCAGTTTCACTGCACACATAACGTATATAATCTACAAAATAAACATCAATCATTGAAGTGCTTTATGGTCTGCTCACCTTGGAATACCAACTGCCACCTGCTCCTTGTAGGAAGAACCCGTAAGACCCCAGAGGGACCAAGTAGCCCACATAACTGGGGTAAAACACATATACTTATAGATAACAGTGTACGTGTTAAGTAAGCCCTGTGTGCTAGAGTGTAAAGGCCTTACGATCTACATTATATACACAGGCGTTATATCTGAATATATATAAGAATACAAAAATTAAACGAATTTACAGAGCAGCGAAAAAGCATCGACATCCTTGTTCCTTCTTCTGTTCCGCTTGCATGTCGGGAAAATGATCCCTATAGTCCATTGTTCGACGAGTATATCGTTCATACGATACACGTCTTTGAATCCAATGGGGTTGGAAGTGGAACTGTAGATCTCGCCCGGCTTCTCCGTAGACATCAGGGGTGGCAGTCGTAGGAATCGAAGAAGGTAACGTGATCTGGTCCTTCGCACACAAACACGGTCTAGTGTCTGCCCCGTTGGTCTTCGTCGTTAGTATTGATGACGTAGGCTTTAGGGTAGGAGTTCGGGCGCACACGCTCCCGAAAACGCTAGAGGGTAGATGTTTTTCTAAAGCTCATGTCACCTGTTGGTTGGAGAGAGCCCCATCAATCAGCAATGACCTGGCGACTGGCGTCGATTTCCAAGACATAGTCGTATTCGGCAAACAGATTAAGACTGAGGTGATTTGTCAGGCCACACCGAATTTGAGTTAAAAAGAAAGGTTACATGCCGCTTTGGGTCAAATCGAAACAATACTAGGTGTACCCATTGTTGAAAGGGGGGGGGGTCTAGATCTTCTCTGGTGTTTAAGACGACCACCCTTTTCATCAAATCCAGGTAGGGTGCGATGGCCTGTTGCTGGGGAAAGTTCACGTCGTATTCGTCCACAATTTCCCCGTTCTTGCCTTAACAACCCGCTTTTGTACACTCGAATCATCGTCGGTGGAAATGAAGTTAGACCATCACCCTACCGTCGAGAAATGGCACGGCTTTTCCAGTTCCGTTCCTTATATAGAGACCAATTGAATTTTGTCGACTGTACTTCAGAGGTAAGAAATGAATTCTGGCGGGACCCTGATACATTCGTCGACTGGGAATCACACCTTCACGTCGTCACAATCTGAGGTTCTTCGGCCCTCCACTAACAAATTCCCGAATGGCGACGTTTCCTCGGGCAGCTAGTTCTTCCACTGGCCCAAACTGGAACCTTCCGGAGATTCTATGAGGTGGACTGGTATTTGTAGATATCATTGTCGGTGTCAGAATAACACACACGTTCCCCCAACTTTTCGAAGACGGAATAGAGTTTCAAGCGAGTCTGAGCGGTGACAAAGGCCGCAATGACCACGCTGACGATGGGGCAGGGCGAAGCATGTTCTTCTTTCTTCAGCGTTTCCACCACCACCATGTTATCGTTGACTAACTGCACGTCTTGTACGACCTGGGTCCCGTCCGTAATGTATTCGGTATTAGGAAGGTTGTCTCTCTGTCCGAATTTTCCCCAGGCCGTGTTGAGCTGTGGTTTACTGAAAGCCCGCATACCTTTGTTGGGTTTTATCGTAGCGGGATCCCGATGAATACATTCGGTGTCGTACCCGTCGTTCACGAAGCGGGTCTTGTCCTCTCATGTGTGACAGGTGTCGGGATAACCACTGCTTTCCATCTTCTTCGGGTAGTGAATGATGTAACCGGTAAACAGTTTGGCCTCGCGATCGTAGGTGCTGAATTCCTTCCAGTGACAGACCTCGTACACCTTTAATACGCGGTATCCCAGTGCCACCACTTTCTTCAGTTCCAATTGACAAACGTGCCGACCCAGACTCGTTGTACGTTGGTGTGGTCACAAGTCTGGTATTCGGCGATCTCTCCTTGTTGCATGTCGAAAAGAGAACACCGAACATTGGATCAGTCCTTCGTACTGCTGCCACTGGTCTTGATCGGGCTGTGTGACTGTGACGGTCGTGGGTTCCTTTATGGGAAACTACCCTACTTGCAGATGTAGGGGTAGAGAGAAACCACGTCGATGTAAATCAAAATGGCGATGCTTTCCTTGTGGGTATTGCTTGTAAAACGTCTTTAGCGTTACTGAATTCAATACTGGGTTCAAAGCCTAATGTCAGATAGCATTGTCACACATCAAATATGTGTGTAAACTAGAAACATCAGGACAAATTACAGAAAATTCATTTTACAATCAGTTTTATAAAAGCAAGGAGCGAACCCCACCGGAGCCCCAATATAGTGAGGCCAAGTTCAGGGACCGTCGGTCCCCTAGTGGCTCTTGCTTGTGAAAAACTTTACTACTGTGGCAATCTCATGAGCCTGTCGTGAAATGAATAACAGGCAGAAATGGACCCGTGGTAACTATCGGCCAGGGACAGAGCGAGGATATCTAAACCATGATAGACTCTCTATACCATGACGCATCCTGTAGTTCCTCTAAACAATCATGTATCCTGTAGTTCGAATAGTCTCTAAACCATGATGTACCCTGTAGTTCGATGGACTCTGTAGTTCAGATTGATCTGTATACCATGATCCACCATATAGTCTCTAAAACATGATGTACCCTGTAGTTCAGATAGAGTGTCTAAACCATGTTTACCCTGTAGTTGGGATAAACCATAGTTTTGTAAATAGGAGGTCGATCGTCAAATGAATATGAATTTTACGATATGTTCATCCCGAAATGACATGGTTTCTCGTAAATGAATATATAGTTGTTGCGCTTCAAATATCTAGATGCCATAGGTACACACTGTTAACCACCCATAGATGTTTTAATGACAATAAATCATATAGTTTATTCAGCTTCACGTAAGACTTGAAATGAATAGATACAGTTGATTTAACTTGAATGTAGATATGAATTACCTATGTTGCATATATAACTTGAATGTAGATATGATGTTGCATATATAGAACTTTTCGGTTGAATCATAATATTATCATAGAATTATCATAAATATCATCATAATATTATCATAGAATTATCATAAATATCATCATAATATTATCATAAAAAATATCTTATTTCATATAGTCTTACGTATTTGTTAACACAAAAGTGAACTTGTTCTACTGTTCCATTTAGCCTATTCAGATTTGTTCAGATGAATGCACTCTACATGACTGAACAAAACATCTTGTAGGAATGTAGGCTTTTATAGATTGAACAAAAAGCCAATAAACGTTGGTGTTGTGAGAAACAGGGACATACTCGAGGCGATTTTAATTTTGTGTTTCAATTTACCCGTCTGCATGAAAAATTTGACTTTTAAAAGCGTATGCAAGTTAAATATATTTAATAGCGCATTTATCTGGTGTATCTTTATTTAATTTTCTTATGAATTAGACTATATTAATATAATAATAATAAGTCCATTTATATCGCGCTAATTCCACATATAGTCGTGCTCATAGCGCTACAAAAAACACATAATCACTCTTGCAAATATTTTTCAAATAAGTATGTTCTCAATCTGGATTTAAAGGAGTCTAATGATGGACTGGATCGAAGATTTTCAGGTAGCGAGTTCCAACACTAAATGAGCGAGCTTTAAAGGAGCTTAGTTTATATTTTGGGACGTGTATAACAATAATACTGTGCTCTTTTTGTTGTATAATAATAATAGTATGTTTAGCTATACTTTTCGTTTAAAAAATGTATGTTTTATCTTCTATAGAATATTTTTAGCGGGAATCTATGAATATCTATCCACATCCCTGGCGGGACAGCCAACAGTATAATAGGGCATATAAATAGATAGTGAGTAGGTACAATCAGAGCCTTATACATAGAGAGTCTGGCCAACCCGTGTCAAGACAATGATTGGTTAGTCACGTGACATGTGGACGTCATTATGTTACCCACCTAAAAATAATCGTCTGCATATAGTAGCCTATAATTTGACGTGTTTTAAATGACATAAATGGTATGTTGTGTGAGCGTAAAATGCCACGCAAAGGATGGCATTCATATGCAGAGGTTGCCAAAAATGCAGAAAGGCGTCGACTGTGGGAAGTGAAAGTAAAACGTAGGCTAGTGGCTGGAAGCCTGGTAAAAATTCCTTCTTGACTTACGGTACGTGATTTTGGTCCTGTCGTTCGTTTTTTTTTAACGATTTCAAGATTGTTATTGTAGTTGGAAGAAATTCTGAACCTAATGACATATTCACGTCATTGGTTATTATGTTTTGATGAATGAATTTTCGAAGATTTGATATTTACTTGAGAATGACAGTCACATTTTAGGCCCAAATATAGGCCTAGTGTATTTAAATTTTTCTATTTAAATTTCGTCTGTATGGCATAAAGTGTTGCAGTTTTGGTTAATTTGTATAGATTATAATAGATATATTCTTTTTCGAAAATTTTTGTGTACTTTGGAATAACACTTATGAGTTTTACACATAGTGTAGGCCTAAACTAATTAATATCTATAGGCCTAACTTAGTCAGTTGATGTTTTTGGATTTAAACTTCATCGATATGGTCATTTTGTTTTTAATTTTTTTTTATAAGGGATTATGTTTGATATCTCCATCGAGGAGTGAATTTTCAACAATTTGTTATGAGTTTGAGCCACACAGTGTAGGCCTAGATGTTTTTCGGTATCCCGCCTCTTCTGACTATATCTTATGCAGAACTGTCAGAACATTCAGATTAAGCCGTTCAGTCTGAAAACCTGTTTTTATTATAAGATTATTATTATTCTTTTTCTGGTTTTTGTGGGGAGTCGAACTTTGAATTTCGATTTCCTGCAATTTTGATTAATAGGCTTAAACATTTATTTATGCTTCTAAATAAAAAATGTATATCAAAACTACCTCAGATTTGTTTCCATTGAGAGAGAGAGAGAGAGAGAACTAACGTATGGTATACCTTCAATAATTCGCTTGTGCGTAGGGGACTTTAGCAATGGAAGAAAACTGGAGGGCAAAGAGAAAACTC